GGTAGCCTAAGTCTCAGGTAGGGGTTGCCAATGTACTTTTAGAGCCCCAATTGCAACAGTGGCCGAATAGGTATCTTCCTTCTCAACCCCGTTTTGCTTCTCCGGAGCCCAAACTTCTTCACTTCACAAGTTAGTTCAGACGGTGCCGTTAGCAAGAAACTACGTCCAGAAGTTCCTCAAGGAGAACAGCCATGTGCAAAGAAAGAACCGCCGACGAGCATGGCACGGCGGACACCAGACTCTATAAATCCTGGAGCCCCTACCACAGATCGTACCGCCCCCATAGCTACTGTCAGGGCGGATTTCAACTTAAACCGTCATCCCGAGTCAGCAATGCCTGTTCTGTTAATTACTTGCGAGTGTCCTGCAAACCCCAGTCGGTTAAGCTTCTTATGAACAACAGGTGTTTCCGAAACGGCAGAGCATGGCGCGGCAGAGCGCAAACTCTAAATGCTGAAACCCTTAAATCCCTCTAAGCCCTAAATCATGACTGCTGGAATAGAGGCACGACCACACGGCCGAGTCGCAGTAGTGAGCACTGGCAGCCATCATTTTTTGGACGATGTGCCTCAGCTGCTCCATGAGGCCTTGAACTCTCACATTTTTTTTACTCTTTGCTGAGGATATCCTATACTCAAAATAGAAAATCCTGAACCCGAAACTCCCAAAGTCAAATATAGAAAAAGTGAGAGCGGCCTAGACGCTGGTTGCGCTTGTTGGTGCTCGCGCAATGCTTCGCAACGCACTTGCTGGGCTTCATGCCCTCGGCACGCTTCGGGTTGAAAGGGTCTGAAGCGATTTTACGGTTTTAGGGTTTGGAATTTCGAGCTTAAGGGTTTGTTGAGTCTTGGGTCAGGGTTTGGGGTTTAGGGGTCCCATGTTAAAAGCTTGCAGCGACTCAACACGAGTTCAAGATCGGTGTTGGAGGTCATCTGTAGCATTCTGAGTTACACTCTAGCTGCATCGCAGTTTCAACGGACCTGTGAGAATCTAGACCTGGACACTGAGGGACCTTGATAAGCTGAAAGCCCTGAAATCGTAGTGTCCTCACTACAAGGTCCCCTACTTGTCTGAAGCCCCAGCATAATTCGTCTCATTCAGAATCCTCTAGACCCGACCAGAGGCATGATGGACACATTCGGAGTGCCGGAGCGATCTCCGCACACAGGTTTCTTGGGTTTAGGCTGCGGAGCCATGCAGGGAGTTTTTGGTGGTTTCTAGTGCTACTTTTGACTGGCTCATTTTTTGGGATCTCTGATGCTAGATTCAATTATTTCGGGACTCTTGCGCAAGCTTCTGTACGAGCATCGAAGACGCCTCCAACGAAATGTCTTTGGATGGGGCGAAGCAGAGAAGGGTTTCGGTGTGTAACAACTTTTGCACAGATGATGACAGATGAAGGGAGACACACGGAATAATTAATAAACAACAACGATTATTACCGCACTCCAGTCAACAAGACTCATACTGGCAGTAGTAGCTCCTGTGTCTACAACACAACTATGACTAGACAGTTGCAGCGCCCGGAATTCTCATAGACTTGGCTGACCAGGTGCCGGGAGCATTCCTGTGTTGCACACGATCCGGCAAGTCCAGGTAGAGTGATCGCACACTTGCTCATAGTCGGCCACCTGAGCTCTGGTGCCCGAAACCCTGAACGCGACAGTTCTTAAACCCTGGAGCCCTAAACCCTACTCTCTGCAAGGCTGCAACTATGCATTTCGGTGCAAGGGTTGTGCTTTAGCAGTCTTTCGCACTACTTACTTTGTTTCATAGCCGGGACGCAGGTCACTGATTGCATTTTTCGATTGGCCCTTTGCCCCAGTAGTACTACCCTTAAACCCTAAACCCTAACTGCACATGCACAAAGACCCTTCAACCAATACCAGGTGCTAGGCCCCGACGATGCAGCCCGAACCGAACCAGTTCAGTTGGCCCGCCTCAACCCCAAGGCCCCAAACTCTAGTCCCTAAGCCCTATAACCCGTAAAGCTCAGAATGTAGGGCCTTAATAATTGTAATTAGAATAGGGGTTTGGGGTATGTTATACTATACTAAAAAGAGGACCCCCCCCACAAGAGTATTGGTAACTACTTAGGCTTCTATATTTCATCCTGACGCCACAAAAAATTGAGAGACTCATCCCGAGGGACAGCAACGTTGCATGTGCCGCTGGCAAGGGCACCCACCAAGCACCTCGGGTCTGGCTTTGAGGAGAGAGGGAGGGAGGGAGAGAGAGAGAGAGAGAGAGAGAGAGAGAGAGAGAAAGAGAGAGAGAGAGTGAGCTTCGGTACAGGCTAAGTCATCAGGTACACGCCGCCAACTTTCTACCCCTGGACGATTCCCAGTTCGTGTCTCCCTAATAGCACCTAACCGCCTCAGCTTGGCTCTGGTTTCTTTGCAGTAGGCGTAGGGCACTAGCGGGTCCTGTTGAATTTATGAATCATAGTCTTCTAAAACACGATTTTTAAACCCTTATAGCGCTTGTTCTCTGAAGCTCCCCAGTCAATGGATATCATTGAGCCTGTGCCAAACTTGCGCTCCACCTGAACCCTGCAACTTCCCAGCCACAAGTACTTTGCTTTTTGGGGCCTTCAGGGTCTTGGTCTTTAGGGCTTTTTTTTGTAGCTTTGAGTTTAAGTGTTTGAGGCTGTGATTTCTGTGTGGCCTTGCTTCCGTTTTGGTTTGGGCCGTGGAGGTTTAGGGTGTTGGGCTTTTGGGGCGTTGGCCCTGCCGTCTCCTACTTGGGTCCCTGGACCAGTCCCTGGATACGGTTTAGGGCTTAGGGGGTTTAGGGTCCCTAGATATGGAATTAAGAGTCTCTAGCGCGACCATCATCTCAACGGCGTCTGTTTTTTTGTGGTTCAAACTAGTAGGAAACTTAGTACTAGTACTACTTTCTCAGGCAAGTCTCTTGGGACAGACCAAGCAACACTCCTTGTTCTGGCCTGTCTACATATTACCGAGTGAATGCCTGGCGCGGAACAGGGAGGGGATAAGAAAACAAACCTTAAAGCACATATTATTCTTCCTTCAGCGCAGTGAACTATGTGCCGGCTGCCGAAAACACTTAACAGTGCCAATGGTCCATCTTCAGTTTGAGAAGTTCGTCTTATCCGTTATGACCATGAAATTAGGCCCTCGATCAACTCCGCTCGCATCCGCGCCACGAGAACAGGAGGATGATATCACCTTGGGGGAAGCACTGCTGATGGGCGAAATTCTTCTATCTCCGTAACTACCATAACTCCCACCGCTTAGATAAATTCAGTGAGGCTTAATTAAGGCAATGTAGGACGCTGACCTTCAGTCGCTCATCAGACTCATCACAAGTCTTCCTTCACCGCAGAGGCTTCTCAGTTTGTGCGTCGCTATTTTTCAGACGGAGTATTGTTAATGGACTAGTATGACTATAGCCTTGCCATGGTAGGGATGTGTAGCTTTCCCTTATCTGGCAACTTCGCTTACATGCCTTATTAACATCAACTCAAGCAGCACGGCGCAAGGCAACTTCTTCTTCAAGCAACCGGCACTCCAGCGAGATTTTCCATGTGCATGAGGGCTCAGGATTCAGGGTTCTAGTCACGTGGCAGACAAGGCCTTCACCAGAATTCATGTGCGAGAGCTCTTCGACACCCTCTACAGGAAAACGCTGCCAGAGACAAAAACCCCATTACGGAGATCTCTGCAATGATGATTCTTGCCTTGCTTCAAGAAAACATTGCCGAGCCACGTATCATGGCACCCAGGGGTGCTTCTAAACGCCTCCTTCAGCTCGCACGTTGTGACTAGGGGCAGCTCGCAGGCAAACGCTGCGGCAACAGAAGCGTTTTCATGCACATTCATGGGCCAGCAAGGACAAACCCACCACCCTGAACCACAACACCCAAGACGCTAAACGCCAACAAAGAAACCCTCGGAACGTCCAGAAGCCCAAAAATCCCTTGTCGATTTCATTCCCAAGCCGCGGTGTCAGGTCTGGTGCTTAGACTTTCAACATCTGAAAGTTTAATAACCCGAAGCAGAACCTAGACTCTCCCATGGAGCTCCGTTTTGGTTGGGCTTGGGGTTTAGGGTCTTTAGGG